CCTCTCGCGTCCGGCTCTGGTCGAAGCCATGGTCCGGAGCGAGACGGAATGGGATGCCGTCACCACCTTCTGCGAAGCAGTGATGCTAGCGAAGGAGGTGGCGGAGCGGGAGAAGGAGAGAGCAGCAGCTTTCCTCCCCGGCCGCCGCGGGAGACGCCCCGGGCGTCGGGGGCTACGTCGTGGCCCCCGGCCACCGTAGGCGCGGGCCTGTGGACGGCGAGCAATGGGTAGCTCGTCGTCCGTCCGTCTAATGACGACAGGCCGTGTCGACGGCGCGTTTTGTTCCACGCGCGCCTCAAAGAGCTGTCAACAGCGTGAAGGGGCCCGCAAGGGCCGACGCCTGCCGGGGCTGCGGGCTGTTCGAAAGAGATACCGCGGCTCCGGAACGTAAGGGCACTGAAGGAACACGGATGGTTTTTAGTCAGTAAAAGTCTGACACTCCCTTACGCTCCACCCAGAGCGAAAGGGGTCATTAGATGATTTTCCATCCGCAAAAAAAAAAAAAGGGATAGAGCAATTTGATTTCAAACGTATAGAGGCTTACTTAGTACGTTCCAAAAAATATAAAAACAAAAAGATTTTTTTATAATGAGTGAGCCTTTAAGTTAAAACGTAAGTTTTATTTTTATACTAGGAATTGTTGGAGAATCGCCCTTCGACCACGCTAACTACACAACTCTATCGTACGGTACCGGGGGACCTGGCTCTTTCCAATACTCAGTCGAGACTAAAGACAACGAAACTAGAGTGATACGAAGAGATCCTAGTATAGACGACACCGAGAGCTTCATGTATGAGCAGATTGCCGCCATTCCTTTGGATGAGAACAGTCACGGTGGTGGTGACGTCGCTATATACGCTAGAGGTAAGTTTTTTTTTAAAGCAATGACTAATATATTTAAGCACGTGACTGCCTGAAAGGGACAGAGAAATGCCATAAAAATATTATGGATCCTATAGATGGTGGTATTATCATCTTGTGCTGCTGTGATCCGGTCTGAAGGGTAGAGAGAGTCAGTTTAATTAGTCTGTGAGGCATTCCATCGTAGTCCTCAGAGGTGACAACGCATCTGTAGCCTAGCCTTGAAGTTGGCTGCAGTGTCCCTGGACTTCAGTAGCTACTATCAGGTGCACTGTAAGTTCGATTGCCACTTAAGTTTTATAACAAAGGGTATCGGTGTCAGTTATAAGCTGATATCTCTTTTATATCTTATATTAGAACCAAATTTTACGTATAATTTTACCGTGACTTTTCAGGCACCTTACATTTCCTATATTCACGAACGAACTGAGGTGTTTGACGTTCTGTTAACGAAGGCTACCTTCAACAAAAATGTTGGTCCGAACTACGCAGTAATGTAGAAGTGAAGCGTATTTATCGTAACAGATTAAAAAACAGGTATCTTAAAGTAGCAGACTGTAACTGTGACAAATAAATTGAAAGTACAGCTCCTGTTCCACGAGATAACAAGTTCACTAAGACAGTCACAAGTTTTTCTCTATGACAATTAACTTTGTTAGAATAAAATAAAAATGTTACTGTGACACCGTGTTACTCGTCACAAGCTCTTTCCTTTTCTCGCATAGGTTCAACACCTTAGTCAGAAAGAGAAGTACCTACCAAGACTGTATTTTTTTATGAAACTGGAACAGGCGGAACAGATATGCGATACCTGTTACAGCCCCTTGCTACAGTAATCTTGAAGTATAGTATGCTTAGATTTGGATTTAACTTTGTTAATGATGGGATCTCAAGCAGATTGTAACACCAGCCATCTTTTCTATTGAAATTAGGATTTTTATTAATTTCAATAGCCTTGCGAATCATTTACGGGAGAAATGGATGCTCTTTTGCGAGAATTTGTAGTATATTAAATCTGATATAATTGTTGGTACAATCCTGAATATGTTGACATAGGTACTGCAAACCTCCCGGTGTGTCGGTGTTTCACATCAGCGATAATGTTCTTTTACGCGGGTTTTTAATATTAAACGTGATAAAATTAGTTTTCTTCTATGTGTAGTATTCGCGTAAATCATTATCTTATTTCAGGTTAGAAAACATTATCATAATGAAAAAACATAACTCAGTTGCGGAGTGTTTTCCACTGGCGAACGATTCCTGTCAGTGACGCCATCGCATCGCACTGCTGATTGCGCTGTAATTATCCTAGTCTCCAACATTGTATCATTACCAAACTTCGATTTACCGGAATCTATTCATTATAGCCTATCAAATGTCAGATTAGTACTGTAAAAAGTTATAATAAATTAAATGTTTAATGATCTTTTTTGATTGACACCTGATGGTGATGCAGCCGCAGATGTTGAAGCGCACCGACTTAACAAAAGCCTATTCAATCTTGCCTTGAAGACTCCCACATTGTAATCGGATGGAAAGACAGATCCCAGCAACTTATTCCAGTCCTTTGCTATACGGTTCGAATGCGTGGTAGGTCGACAACGAAAGGGTGGAGATTTTAATGATCATTCCTTCGCAGGTCCTCACGCTCACCTGTTCCACAACGTTCACGAGCAGCACTATGTGTACCACGGCGTCGCCTATGCAGCCAAACTTGGACCATACTCAAACGCGTACTCAACACAAATCAGTCTTGGGGTGATATTTATGACGGTCTTAATACTATTTTTATAGTTGCAAGTGTACAAATTAATTTTAGCTAGATCAAATATTATACAGTGTTTGTTAATCTTGTGTAGTTTTTACGTTGTAGAGCCATATTTCAGCTATATTATAGTTGTAGCACAAATGGATCGACTCAACTAGGGTGGGACCACGCTTTCACATAATACAGGCTTATTGCTATCGTTTCCTATGGCGAGTGTAGAGAACCGGAGACCCTTTTTACTGTAAACAGGGCATTCCATTTTAGTCCTCAGGGGTGACAACGCATCTGCATTTTGATTATTAATAGAGGATGATAATAATGTCCTCCAGACCGAATTTCGGTCACGGCGGCCAGCATTAACGGAGACTAGCCATCGGCGCAGAACAGAATTATAGTGCCCAAGTGTATGCGCAAGGACAATTGCACTCTCTATTCCCTCACTCTCATAATCCGATAGGACGGCAAGCCGACACGACCGAAGAGAGATCAGGCGCAGGACCAACGGCTTTACGTGCTTTCTGAGGCACGGGAGTGAGACACCGCCAACTTCCTGACTCCGGACAACTACTGAGGACTTCTTGACAGATAAACTCGATAATCGATTTTTGGCCCGACCCGGGATTCGAACTCAGGACCTCATGATCAGCAGTTGCACTACTACAACCACTAGACTAACGAGGCAGCCAATAGAGGATAGATGTAGATGTTTATGGGCCACAGTATCCATTTACCATTATGTGCTGAGATTAGTGTGCTCGCTTGAAACCATAAAAACATGAATTGAAACCATAAACTATAAAAACATGTTAGCAATAATAATAACATAAAATAATGAAGTACGATTACTAAAGGTTTATTAACACGACTGCATCTATCTACACAATGTGAAGATCTTAGCGACAATATCAATAAAATGTTGCTCAAGTACAAAGTACGATTCCTTCTTACCTTGTGTTACGATATAGTGTAGGTTTAAAAAATAAACGAAATAATTTGCAGCTATAAGTACTTTATTGTCACAACACTGAGTATATTATAGACAGGTAATATTAGACATTAAATAACAAATACAAATTCATTTAAATAAATACATATATCAAAATATAATATCGCAAGGTCAATAAATAAGTGCAAAAAAATTCACTGCAATATGTCAATGTGTAGAATTTCTTTATTATTTTAATTATGGCAAGGTAGTTTGAAAAATGAGTAAATTAATTAGCTAGTTCCACGCGGAATTTAAATATTTTTATTGCAATATTTCGCAGAGACGGATAAAGAGGCTGAAATAGCAATAGGACGGCAAATAACCCAATGTGTTTAGAATCGATGGCGAGAGGTCCTTAAGTGGTATTCCTCGTAACGGCAAACGTAGTGTTAGGCGACCTCCGATGGAGTGACAGCCTGATGTAACATGCAGGACAGAACATGAAAGTATGTGACTCATAAGGTGGTGTAGGACTCAGCTGTGTTTTGTGGCAATCTATGGAGACGACGTATCTTCAGCAGAGGGCTTGTGATAGGCTGAAATGACGCTGAAGTCGTCAAGAACTGAGATACAATTAGCAAAATGATAATAATGATATAATAAGCGAAATATTTAAACTTCGTCTCGTTACTTCGTACCTTAAGTGCCGCCCTGAGGCACCGTGAAAAATACCGCTTTACCTATATCCTGCATTAATTGAGTAAAAATTAGGTTAAAGGACAAATATACAACTATTCATTGAAAAAGGATATTATTTAATTTTTTTAATAACTACACTAAATGTTAATAAAACAATTATTTACTGTATACTAGACTTCTAAACGTGAAGATCCAATCAGAACTCGATTTTGAAAAATTGGTATCAAACTAATAAATTACCAATTTGTTGAAAACCGTTTATTTTCAAAGCAGAAATATAAAAAAACTTTTGCCCACACTCCAAATTTTGCCGCCCTGGGCACTAGTACTTAGTGCCCCTAGTGTAAATATATCATTGCGTGCGATTTTTGACTCTCATAATTGCGTAAGCACATTTACAATATTTGGATAGTAAAGTCAACAAATTGCAGTGAAATTTAAAAGAACTATAATAATACTTAAGTATATTCATGGCGTCAAATGCGATGTGATGTTTTACACGCCGCCAACTGTACATTTACAATATTAAAAATATACTGTAAAATGAGGGAAAATTCCAGGCCTGCTGTATGTTGAAATCCACATTATAAAAAGTTTATTTTTAAAAAGCTAATTCTAACAAAAAAAAAAAACAAGATATCCATCAACAATTGGTACGGTAACCGACTTAAACTAGCCTGCACTGGTGAGAACCAGTTCCATCTGGTTTTGGCCCCTTTTCTGCTTCCATCAAATTTCTTCCGTTAACGACGCAAGTGCCTGTGCAAAACTACACCGACGAGGATGGCGCCAGCTAAAGCCAGGATCGCCCATTTTAACTTCAATCTGTAAAATAAATGTATGAATAATTAAATAAAAATGCAATATAAAAATTATCTTCGCCAGCCCGCCAAAGTCTACAACTGTATGTGCATTGCCGAAAACCTCAAACGTTACTCTATTTTAAGACATCGTTAAGTCTCGTGCTGTTTTTATCATATTAAGTCAAAGTGACTGAATCAATTAGACTTAACGACATCTTAAAATTGAGTAACTTTAGTATTTGGCCATATTAAAGGGAGACTGCTTAAATCGCGACAGACTTCTCGCACCTTTGACGCTCTTTCCTGTCGCCGGTCTGGGAGTAAATGAGATGGTATCCCATAGTCGCACTTGCACCTATATATAAGTCGAAATAGATTACTTTGCGGCTTACATCGCCACCCACAACTAAATCCGAAAACCAAATAGAATTATGAAGAAGCTATTGAATTATGTGGAAATTATTTCATACAATTTTTTAAGTCTAGATATACTTTTTTTAACATAACATTATAAATATTTAAAGTAGTTTATTGAATCTACTGGTTCGGAAATTTTTAAAGTAATACGAGTTTATACAAATCTATCCATGATGGTGCATTTTACAACTACCTACTTCAATATTACATTGTTGGATAAGAAGGAAAAATATTATACGATAATATCGACACATTCGACACGTTTTAAAGCTTTAATGAAAGATAAATAAAGCCGGCTATACATGTTGTCCGAGCGCAGGCGAGTACCAAAGTATAGACAGCCCATTTGCCTGGCCTCGCCATTGCTCGTCGTTGCTCGCCTAGCTGGCCGAGTGCAGGCGAGCGCCAACATGTATACGGTTCCTTTGGGGTGCCTTGCCACCACTCGGGATCGCTCTCCGCGGCCCGTCTCATTTCGGAACAGAACGGTTTTTCTGCACAAATCAAAGGCGCTCGCTTGTACTCTGCTAGACGTGTCCATATGTAGGTTGTGCGTGTGCATGTGTGTAAGTTAACCAACATGTAGGCTGCGGGCACGAAATTTGCGACGGTCGAACGATGGCGGTAGCGGGGCGGCACGGCACGGCGCGATGCGACAGCGAAGTAAACAAAAGCATAGTTTAATATGGCGAGGCGCACGAAACAGCCCTAGGTCGCTGCTCCGCTACCGCCATCGCCCGAACGTCACTAGTTTCATGCCCGCAGCCGTAGAATGTAGCACTCGCCTTGTATCAATTTGGCTGAAGAAAATTGTCTTACCCCGGAAATACATGTTGGCCAAGCCTCAGCCAACGCGAGCGTAGGCAAATTGATACAAGGCGAGTGCTATAGTCTACATGTTGTTCAAATACGAAAGAGATCAATTCCAAGGCAAATTGATACGTTCACGAGTTTTTGTGGAGCTATCTACATGTTGGCCGTAATTAGTCGTCATTGAGAATTTGTATGATATGGACGACGTAAAAGTTATTGCAGCTTCTGCTATTTATTTAATAAGTGCATAAAATTATTATGTCAGTGTACACCGCAGTAAAGTTACAAAACTTAATGATATCCTCGTTAGTATAGTGACATTGTCGAAATTATTTTAAAGTTGCAACTTAATTAAATCAATATCTCACCGGGACGGACGCCAAGCTGTATCTGACATGGGCGACTAACATGTGGACATGTGTGCATGCGAGCGCCTTTGATTTGTGCAGAAAAACCGACACTGTTCCGAAGTGGACGAGTCGTAGCGAGCGATCCCGAGTGGCGGCAACGCACGCCAAACGAACCGTATACACGTTGACGTTCGCCTGCACTCGGCCAACTAGGCGAGCGTCGACGAGCAATAGCGAGGCTGGACAAATGCGCTGTCTATACGTTGGAGCTCACCTTCGCTCGGCCAACATGTATAGCCGGCTTAACATTTGGACACGACTTGCCGAGTGTAGGCTTTTGATTTGTGCAGAAAAACCGACACAGTTCCGAAGTGGACGAGTCGCATCGAGCGATCCCGAGTGGCGGCAAGGCACGCCAAACGAACCGTATACACATTGGCGTTTGGCCTGCACTCGGCCAGCTAGGCGAGAGTCGACGAGCAATGGCGAGGCTGGACAAATGGCCTGTCTATATGTCGTTGGTGCTCGCCTTCGCTCGGCCAATATGTATAGCCGGCTTAAGTGCGTGGAATAGATTAGAGTAATAGAAAAGAATATACTATCAAGTGATACTTATTGAAGGTCATTTATGATGTTACCCCTGGTTTAGAAAAAATCTCTCTGCCCTGGAGAGAACCAGCAAGAAACCCAGCGCGGTTTCTTTTAAACCACAATTTATAATACAGCGTGGTTGCAAAGAAATTCCCTATCTTTATTCGGTTGTAGACTTTACCAGCTTTAGCCAAACTCATGTAATCATATGTAATGTTTTTCTTTATACGTTGAGAATTAGATAAAACATCATAAAATTACTCAAGGAAGATTGTTAATGTAAGAGAGTGCAAATTGCCTCTCGCTACGAAGTGTGGTAATCAATAGTGGAAGTGCAAAGGTGGTAGCGGAATATCAACGGACCTCATGGTGTTTTGAATCCAAAACCATTAAAACTGTCATTTAAAGTTGATGAAAACTGTATCAGTGGCAGATAGTAAAAGAACCGGTCGTCCTTCAACATCAATATCAGAAGAAAATATTCAAATTGTTCGAGAGAAGCCCGACAAGTCGACTCGTCAGGCAGCTCGTGAGAGTGGACTTACAGGGCACACTATGGTGACTGCCCTTAAGTCTATCAGCTTTCGTCCTTTGAAGTCACATTACTGTCAAGAAATAACTCCAGAGGACCGTGATCGCCGGATGGAATATGGAGAGATTATGCTTGGATGGTACAGAGATTGGTCAGAACTGTTTGATAACATTGTCTGAATCATGAAGTGATTTTATTATGTTTGGGGCTTTGTTAACAACATTCATAACTGTCATTATTGGGTAGATATTGACCAAAAAGTAACTGCGCAGAAAATGCAAAATCATACTAAGTTCACAAGTGTATGACATCAAGTCAAGTTATTGGCCCTTTTCTTTTGAGGGAAACAATGAATGAAGAGCTCTACCTCAACATGCCCGCAGTTTGGCCAGCTTTGTCAACGTTTGATAACATTGAAAATATGGTATTTATGCAAGATAGAGCTCCACCACACTTCGCATCGAATGTCCAACAATGGCTGGATAACCGATTCCGTAGGCGTTGGTTAGGTCGTCGTCGAACTCACGAATGACCTGCTCGTAGCCCTGACCTCACGCCTTTTCCTGTAGGGTTGGGCAAAGGATGAAGTCGATTGCTTAAAACCTCGCACTCTTGATGAACTGGGAGTGGGAATTCAACAAGTGCTAACAAATTAAACCCCAACACTTTTTGCAAAAGTCCATAGCAGTGTTTCCAAGACGTTAGCAAAAACTGGTAGCAAATAGAGGCGCTTATATTGAATTCTGACTTTTATTGATTTTTTTATCACTCACAGTTTTATTTCGTTAGTGGTTTGACAAATTAATGTAAAAAAAATCTTAAAACCAATTAAAGATAGGGAGTTTCTTTTCAATCAGCCTGTACTTTACACTATATACTACACTTAATGACACATTAGAAACGGCAGGTTAGCGATCACCTCGTTCTCAGGGTTTATCCAGTCATGTATTCTTTAATATTATAAGAATACTCTTATTAATAAAATTTCTAAACTTTTTGATAGACCTATAGACTAGAGATGACGCGAACACTCGCTATTATTCGGTTTTCGGCATTACTCGACATTTTCTTGTTTTTCGTCGAATACTGAATAATAGCTAGTATTGTTCGACATTCGGGAAATAGTTGTCTAAAATAAACGTTTAATGAACAAACAACTATACACTTAAATTTTTTTTCTTTTTAAGTTACACTATTTCAGTCTTTAGTTCAATTGAAAATTTTAATCAAGTATATCTTACTTAAATTAAGCACTTGGTCTCGTTACGAAAATTAAAGACCGTCGGCGACGTCACGTCAAGGAAACTTATCAATAATGACAAACCAATGACACAAGCGAAATAGGTTGAGCGGGAAATCCCCTACATTATTAAAAACTGGGTTATACAAAACGGGGTATTCCCGGTAAAATAGGTACAAGAAAAGTGCTGCCAGCATTTAAAAACGTTAAATCAGTATAATATGAACCAGATTTCTTTAACTTCATTGTTTTCTTTTCTCATAACTTTAGAAATTTTTTAGATTACAGTAACAAATAAATTATTGGTAAGTTCAAGACTACTACAAGCGTGGCATTATTATTTGATAACAATAAAATTATTTCGTAATGGTGATCATGATTTTAAATTTAACATAACTAAAATGTTGAACATTTAAATATAGGGTAGTATGTATTATGTAACTATACTAACACCAACTACAAATTAAAGAAAATATAAAAACCTTCTTGGAGGTGAAGACGATCTTCTTTGCGGACTTTAGAAGAAAAAAAAGAAAAATAAACATTATTTTTATAGTGCAGAAAAATTATATTCAACATTACAATCATTCGTTGTAATAAAGACAAGTACCTGTCGTCGCACGAAAAATTTCGACTCCCCCTATAAAGAGAAAATAAATATACTGAATAATATTTTTTTAATACTTATAAGAATGACAAACAACCCCAAACACCACCTCATTGTAGGTCATAACTGCCTTTTCTTTAGAATAAGCCTGACAAACGAGCACCTAATGGTAAGTGGTGCTGTGGCCCATAGACATACATTTATCCTCGATTAAGAATCAAAATATAGATGCGTTGGCATCCCTGAGGACAAAATGGAATGACTCGTTTGCGGTTAAATGGATCTCCGGTTCTCTCCACTCACCATACGAAATTAAGCATTAAGCTGCTTTTTTACTCTGGTAATCTGTGAGGGCGTGGTCTTTTCCCGGTCGAGCCGATCCATTCGTGCTACGTTTAGCGAGCCATTTCAAACAATGAAGCTACAGATGCGTTGTCATCCCTGAGGAATTACGCCTCATGTTTGAATTTAT